GGGCACGCCGACATGGTGCGCCTGCTGGCTGGCCTCGGCGCCGACCCGGGCGCCCCCGCGCGCGGCGGCGCCACCGCGCTGCACGCCGCGGCGGAGGAGGGGCACGCCGAGGCGGCGGCGCCGCTCCCGCGGCCTGTCGGCGGCCTGTCGGCGGCCCTTCTGTGGCCCGTCGGAGCCCGGTCCCCGTGCCCCGCGCGACCTCCTCCTCCTCCTCCTCCTCCTCCTCCTCCTCCTCCTCCTCCTCCTCCTCCTCCTCCTCCTCGGATCCTTGCAGGACCTTGCAGAGACCCCATCTGGCTGACCCGGGTGAGCGAGCCGCTCGTGGCCGCGAGGCGGCCGCGCATACTGGCTGACCTGGGTTTGCGAAGACCTGCGTTGCAGTTTTTTTCCTGCATTGCAGCTTTTTGGTTTCCTGCTGACCCGCGACTGGAGTGACCCGGGTCAGAAGATCCCCGACCGACCGCCCTCTGGTGGCCGGTGCCCGCGAGGCCGCCGCCGCCCGCCTCCGTCGTTGGCCAGTCGGCCGGCCGGTACCGTTATGTCGGGCCTGTCCCCCTGCAGGGGGATTTTCGACGAAAAATAGAAATTATTCACTGCGTGGAGCTCCCCATATGTGCATCTATTCGCATGGACCTGTCCGCCGTGAATGTCTAGGCGCAAGAGCTTTCGAATATACACGGGCTTCAGTTGTGACGGTCTGGACATAAATCTAACTGCGAATGAATTGGAGTGTGAATGAGCCTCAGTAGTACGAGCGCGTCTTTGTGCATGAGCCTGGGGCCTCCTGGGGCCTCCTGAAACCTACTGGGGCTTCCTGGGGTCTCCAGGAGCCTCTTGGGGCCTCCTGGGACCTCCTAGGGAGGTTTCGTGCCCCAGGAGAGGCGCAATCTATAGCAACAGACGTACATAAAACATTGCGGATTAGAGCCACAGGAGAAGGGCAATCTATAGGAACACGCGTAAAACACCAAGGACTCGTGCCCCAGGAGAGGCCCAATATATAGGAACATGAGTAAAACATTTAGGATTGTGTACACAGGAGAAGGACATCTATAGAAACATACGTATAACATCAAAGAATCGTGCTCCAGGTGAGGCCCAATCGATAGGAGCATACGTAAAACACATGGGATTGGAGCCACTCCTGTTGCCTTCTGAGGCCTCCTGCTCCTGGGGCCTCTCGGGGCCTCCTGTTGCCTTCCGAGGCCTCCTGGCGCTTCCTGTTGCCTCCTGGGGCCTCCTGTGGTTTCCTGAGGCCTTCTGGAGCTTCCTGGGGCCTCCTGGAGCCTCTTGGGACATCCTGTAGCCTCTTGAGTCTTTCTGTGGCCTCCTGATGCCTCCTGGGACCTCATGTGGTCTCCTGGGGCCTCCTGGAGCCTGTGGGAGCCTCCTGTGGCATCCTGAGAAGAATCTGCGCCCACGAGCCTGGCCACCAAAACAAGCAAACCGCTCGAGACATCCTCAAAATCTGGCCCACCTGGGAGGTCAAAATGAGCGCCTCGCTCGAGACATCCTCCAAATCTGCTCCGAAACGAAAGATGCTGGCACAGAAAACAAGCAAACCGCTCGAGACATCCCCACAAAATTCCGCGAACGGGACCCCGTGAAATACCCCCCCGCCGCCCCCCTTAGAGTGCTGAGACGAGCGAATCGCCTGAGACATCCTCCAAATCTGCTCCGAAAACGAAACATGTTGGATCAGAAAATGGCCAAACCGCCTGAGACATCCCCACAAAATTCCGCGAACGGGACCCCGTGAAATACCCCCCCGCCGCCCCCCTTAGATTGCTGAGACGAGCGAATCGCCTGAGTCTGAGTGATGACTGAGTCTGAGTGATGAGAGAGCATGAGTGAGTCTGAGTGATGAGTGAATCTGAGTGGTGAGTCTGAGTGATGAGTGGTGAGTGATGGGTGTGGTGTTCTGTCCTGTTCTGTGTCCTTCCGGCGCGGTCCGCCAATAACAAGAACCCCATCTTTGGATATGGGGAAATACCCCCAAAATATACCAAAAATAATCCAATCATAGTCTGGGGACTATTTTTGGAGTATTTTTTACCTTTTTGGGGTATTTCTGAGGTATTTCATATTTCTCGTCGAGAATCCCCCTGTAGGGGGACACGCCCGACATAACGGTACCGTGCGACCTCCGCCCCCAGGAGCACGATGGCACACACACACACACACACACACACACACGGCCGACGACGGGCCGACGTCCGAGGACCTCGTCCGCCGTCTTCCTGATGGTCGCGCTTGGGAGGACGGCAAGCCAGGGAGTCAGACGGAATGGTCACGGGTGTCCGTTTTTGTTTCGCCACCCGTGTCCTCGTGCGAGGGCCCAAGGGGTGTTGATCGGGCTTGTGTGTCTGAGCGCCTGCACTCCTGCGGTGGCAGCTTATATCAGCCACTTAGATGCAGGCTAGCTCAGCCTGATTGCAAGCTCCACCGAGCGTGAAACGACGACCGACGACTGACGACCGACCGACGGAGGACCGTCGACCGACGGCGGAAACCCGACGACCGACGGCCTCGTCCGAATCTTCCTGCTAGGACTCGTGACGCGTTCGCGTCCTCTATTGCCGACACTACGACGGCCCAAAAACTCACGACTGGCGACCGACCGACGACGACGGACGACCGATGGCGGAAGACCGACGACGACGACCCACGATTTCGTGTGCCTTCCCTCCTGCTGGGGTCACCTTGGAGTAGCGCTACCGCTGATAGCCCCTGGCCTGCGCACTCCTCTCCGGAGGGTTTTGTGGAGGAGGCGGAAAAGGAGGCGGAGAAGAAAGGTGGAAGTCTATTTCCCCTTCTCTCACGGGAAGAAACGGTTCCCCGTACCGCTACATTTTGTCCGTTTCCCCTTGTCTTGGGTGTCCTGGAAGGCACTCGTCGCCATCGCTGGATTCGCCTCGAAATTCGGGTCAGAACGCATCCCAGGAGGGGTCCCAGGGAGCAGCGGTATGGGCTACCCTTGGGACTCCCCATTCTCGCCCTGGCCTCGCTGCCGTCTCGCCGCTTCTCCTCGCCTGTCTCCCGCTTGTCCAACGCTCCGTGCCGCCTACTGCGACGACGACGACGACGGAAGACGACGACGACGACGACGACGACGACGACGACGGCGGAAGACGACGACGACGACGGAAGACGACGACGACGACGACGACGACGACGACGACGACGACGACGACGACGACGACGACGACGACGACGACGACGACGACGGGGGTCGGAGCGCCTTCGGCGCGTTCCCTCCTCCTCGGAGAGGCGTGGGGGGCCCCTTGCGCGGGCGGTTGGGGCCCCTTGCGCGGGCGCCGCCGCGCGCGCGGCAGGTGGTGCGAGCACTCGCGGAGGCGGGCGCAGACCTGGAGGCCTCGTGCGGCGTCGGCCGTCGGACGCCGTTGGCGTCGCCGTCTCTCGGCGGCGTCGGCATCGCCGTCTTCGGAGTCGGCGTCTGCGGCGTCCGCGCCGTCGACTGCATCGTCGGCGTCCTGGGCGTCGGCGACGTCGGCGTCGTCGTCGTCGTCCTCGCTCTCCTCGTCGAGATTGGGGAAGGGGGGGGAGCGAGAGGCTGCAGCATGAGGAGGAGAAGAACACGGCTGATGATAGGGAGGGAGGAGGGGGGAGAGGAGGAGGAGGAGGAGGAGGAGGAGGAGGAGGAGGAGGAGGAGGAGGAGGAGGAGGAGGAGGAGGAGGAGGAGGAGAGGAGGAGGAGGAGGTAGGAGGAGGAGGAGGAGGAGGAGCAGCAGCAGCAGCAGCAGCAGCAGCAGCAGCAGCAGCAGCAGCAGCAGCAGCAGCAGCAGCAGCAGCAGCAGCAGCAGAAGGAGAGCGATGAGCAGGAGAAGGAGCAGGAGCAGGAGCAAGAGCAGGAGCGAAGCAGGAGCAGGTAAAGGAAGGGTTGGAGCAGGAAGGAAGGGGGAAGGGGGAGGAGGAGGAGGAGGAGGAGGGAGGAGGAGGAGGAGGAGGAGGGAGGAGGAGCAGGGGGAGCCAGGAGGAGGAGGAGGAGCAGAGGAGCAGGGGGAGCAAGGAGGAGGAGGAGGGGCAGGAGCGGGAGACAAGGGCAGCATCCCGTCGTCGCCGCTGTCTTTCTCCTCTCCCTCCTCCTCCTCCTCTCCTCCTTCTCCTATGCTCTGGCCTCCTCCTCCTCCTCCTCCTCCTCCTCCTCCTCCTCCTCCGCCGCCTTGCCCCCATCCCCCGCCTGCGCCCGGTCCTACGCCCCCTGCCACTACTGCTCCTCATCCGTTTTTCTTCTCCTGCTCCAGCGGGATTGCCGACGATCTGTGCTGGCGCAGGCGGTGGCGGCGACGACGGCCACAGCGCGCGGCGGCGGCGGCGACAGCCGCGGCGGCGGCGACGAACTCCACAGGCCAGGGACGGCCGCGGCGCGGCCCCGATCGACGCCGCTGCGGCGGCGTTCCGTCTGGGAGCCGTGCGCGCGCTGATGGAGGCCCTCTGCCTCATTCCGTCGTCCTCCTGCGGTTGCTCATTCTTCCTCCCCTTGTCCCGCCTCCGCCTTTACCTTCCTCCTCCTCTTGCTCCTCCTCCTCCTCCTCCGTGGATTTCTCTTCCGTCCTCCTCCTCCTCCTTCTTCTCGAGCCTCCGCCCTCCTACCTCCCTCCTCTTGCTTCACCTCGTCCGTTGCCTCCTCCTCCGTCCTCCTCCCCCTCTCTCCCCCGTCCTCCTCTCAGAAGCCTCCCCGTCGGTGGCCGTTGCGGCTCCAGGGGTCTGGCCTCCCCTGCGGAAGCGGAAGCGGAAGCGGAAGCGGAAGCGGAGGAGGAGGCGGAGGAGGAAGCGGAGGAGGAGGAGGAGGAGGAGGAGGATGAGGCGGAGGAGGAGGAGGAGGCGGAGGAGGAGGAGGAGGAGGAGGGGGGGGAGGAGGAGGTGGCGCGCCCCCCCCCCGGGCGCTGTCTCGTCACGGCGGGGCCCCGCGCCCTCGCGAAGCAGCGGGCCCGGGCCCCGCGTGGCGCAGGCCGCCTCCGGCACGGCCTCAGCGGCGCCTGCCCGCCAGGGCCGTGCGGAGGCGACGGCCAGGGCGGCCAGGGCAACGGCATGCACTTTATTTTACGAGCTCGAGCGGGCGCCCTGTGGCTTAGGAGAGGAGAGGAGCAGCAGCAGAGAGGAGAGGACAGCAGCAGGGCAACGACATACACATGCAATCTCGGAGGTCCGCGCGGATTTCTCGGATCAGCGCTGGACCCCCCAGCGGGCGCCTCTGGCGCCCCCCCTGGCGCCGCCCCCACGCGCGCTCCGGCACCTCCAGCGCGCGGAGCGCGCCAGGGGCGGCGCCGGAGGCGCCGCCTGGGGGGTCCTGCGCCGATCCGAGAAATCCGCGTGGACCTCCGAGTTTTTGCGGTCGGCAGGGAAACGAGCATCGACATACACATAAAATCTCGGAGGCCCGCGCGGATTTCTCGGATCAGCGCTGGACCCCCCTCCCTGGCGCGCGGAGCGCGCCAGGGGCGGGAAGCGCCGGAGGCGCCGCCCTGGGGTCCAGCGCGGATCCGAGAAATCCGCGCGGACCTCCGAGTTTGTATGTTGGTGTCATTCTTCGTTCCCCTAACCGCGGGGGGGAGTGGCCGCAGGCTGCGGCGGCGGCGCCGAGAGCAGCCAGGGCAGCACGAGGGCGCGGCCGCCACGGGCGGCTTGCCTGGACGAGGCCTGGGGCAGGGAGCAGTCCCTGATGCGCTCCGACGTCTGCGCCCCCTCCCCCACCCTGCCAGCTGCCTGGCGAGCCCAGCCCTTGCCGAAGCGGGCAGTGCTGCGATGCCCGGAAGAGCCCCTAAAGGGTTGTCACTCGACGGGTTCCCAGGGCACCCGTTCGCGCTAGCAGATGCGGGGCCCAGAAGGAGGCCAAGCAGTTGGCTGCGAGGCCAGGGGCGGTGGGAGCACCGCCACCGCACCGTGGCAGGCCCTCGCCGGCGCGCGCACGTGAAATGCTCGTGCGCGCCCGGCGCACGCCACCCGCCTGGCGGCCTGGGCGGACGGGTGGAGCTGGACAGCCTAGAACACCCCCGATCCCTATGATTGGCATCGTCCTGTCCCGATGCCGATCCTGAGGGCCCCCTCGGTTTCCGAGGGCGCGGCCCTGAGATCGTCACCGCGCTTTGGCCTGTCAATCTCCTGGAGAGGGATGCGTCCGAGGCTGGTCAGGAGAGCCTGCAGGGGGCGAGGGCGCGGAGTCCGACGCGACGATGCGCGCGGCGACGGCCGCGTGCCGGGCCCAGGTGCCGCGCCGGGCGCGCGTCGTGCGCGAGGCGCCGCGGCGTCTCGCTTCCGCCATGCGCGGCAGCGGGGCGGTGGCGGAGGGCGGCGCCGAGCAGGCGCTCGACGAGCGGCGGGAGGCTCAGGCCGATGTGGCCGAGGCCGCGGCGGCTCGCGCGATCAGCGGGGCGGCCGCGACGGCTCACGCCGAGGCCGAGGTCCAAGGCAGAGGCGTGGCGGCCTGCCCAGATGGCGGCCGCCGCCGACACAGGTGCAGCGCGGCGCGCGGGTGCAGCGCGGCGGGGAGAAGCGCGCATCGGAGGCCGAGGGAGACCGTGCGCACAGCCGAGCCGGGGACCAGGATCGATCCGCAGAGCAGGAGCTTCGCGCGGCTCTTGCCTTGTCTTCTTCTAGCCAGTGAGCGTGGTCTCAAGCCCTGGCGGTCATTACTCACCGGCCAGGAGCAAGCTGGGTATCACCTGCCAATGCCAACGAAACTCCTTCCCGCTCTCCCCTCGCTCGATCCTTCCCCTCCCCCTCCCCCCCCCTCCTGCCCTCCCCCCCCCTCTTCCAGCCTCCCCCCGCCTCGCCCGCCGCGCCAAGGCGGGGGCGAGCGCGTCCGACTCCATCGGCCTGCTCTCGCAGCACCCGGACGCGCCCCGGCCGCCGCCGTCGGAGGCGGTCTGTTTTTTCTCCTCCTCCCTCCTCCTCCTCGTCCTTCTCTCGACCCTCCGCCTCCTTTCGGAAGCTGGGCGAGGGCTGGCAAATCCGTGGCTGCTAAAACAGTCTTCCTGGAAGAAAGAAACAATTCCTCGAATAAAGTTCATGGTTGTTGAATAGTAAACGGGCTGCTTCCCGGGGACAAAAAAACATTTTGCCGGAACTCCGTTTCAGCAGCCACGGGTTTGCCAGCTTTCGCCTGGCTTCTGATCCCCGGGCCCCCCCAGGGCTTGGCTCGCCTCTCTTAGCAATCTGGCCATCGCGCAAGGCTTGACCTGGATGGGGATGTCGACGCCCCCCGGCGAGGTGCGCAGGGGGGGAAGGGTCCGCGCGGTAAAGACAGCCTCCTCCCTCCTCTTCCTCCACCTTCCCCAGATGTCCCCCCAGAGGCTTCTGGGGATTCCTGGCGGCGTCTGACGGCCCGCAGGAGCCCCAGAGACTCCCCCCCCTGACCGTCCATACCCTCCTCCTCCTCTTTTTCCTCCTCCTCCTCCTCCTCCTCCTTTTCCTCCTCCACCTCCTCCTCCCTCCTCCTGCTCCTCCTCCTCCTCCTCTCCTCTTCCTCCTCCTCCTCCTCTTCCTCCTCCCCCTCCTCCTCCTCCGCCTCCTCCTCCTCCTCTTCGTCATGCTCGCGATCGCGCTCCTACTCTTCTGTCCGCTGGGGGCATGTCAGAGGTCTCGCCCAGGTCTTCCTCACCTGCCCCCCCGTCCCACCGTCCCAGTGTTGGAGCCTCTGGCTCGCGAGCCGCCCGCGACGGTGTTCGTACAACTGGGCACCCAGACGGTTTCGGAACAACTGGGCCCCCAGGCGGCGCTGAGGGGACACCAGGGCAGGCAACGGTCCAGGATCGAGCGTGGTGGCCTCCCGCCTGGTGGCTCGCAGGCGGAACGGGCCCGCTCTCTCGTCGCAGCGGCTGCATCGCGGGAGTCCGACCCCCTCGAACCGTCGCAGGAGTTGGCTGGTGCGGTGGGGACGCAGGGTGTTGCGGCAGGCGCTGGCGGAGGCTTGGCTGTGGCCCCTGCGGCGCCGCTGCCGCGGCCCCTCCCGCCCAGCTCTGTTGGCACTGGCTCGCGTCATCATCTGGCTGGTCGCTGGCGCGATGGAGGACCTGATCCCGACGGTGCCGCTCATGTCCCTGAGGATGCGGCGGCTTCGGGCGCTGGAGGCAGTGGTCCTGGTGCCCCACGACTCGATCCGCGGGCGGGTTCGTTGCTCAATTCGGAGCACGACGCCGTCAAGAAGCAGCTGCTTGATGAGGTCCAGAGCACCGCCGAGAAGGCCGTGGACTCTCTCGTCAGTCGTCGGCTTCCTGGCGTCACCGAGCCACTTCTCAACAAGTTCGACGAGTCCTTGCAGCGGCGCTTCGCCGCCATTGACCGACAGATGCGGTCCCTTGATCAGCGGTGTGATGCCAGTGATCGAGCTCTCGCGCAGCTCGAGGAGCGGATGGCAAGGCTTGAGCAGGAGCTGGACCTGGCCCGCGCCGCCTCCAGGACCCCCACCGCGCGGGCAGCCGACCGGGCTCGCGCCACGGATCCTCGCGCGGGCAGCCGGCTGGGACGCGCCACGGCTTCTGCTCGGGAGGACGCGGCTCGGACCGCCGTGGAAGCCGCGCGTCGGGACTGGCCGAGGACTGCAACATCGAAGGGGAACCGCTGGCGCAGCGCTTCGTGGTCATGTTCGCGTGCCTCGCAGCCACGGCGGCGCCGCGTGCCCGGCGGGCTCGCGCTCTTCTCCGAAACCCGACTGGTACCTGGAAGCAGTTCTGGCGGAGATGCTTGGCCAGCTGCATGTCGGGCTCGACCGCGACCGCAGCGAGATCGCCGTCGACCGCGCGGTCAGGAAGCTGCGGGCGGGTCTCGCCGAGCACCTAGGGCGGCGGGCATTCATGGATCGGGACTGGGTCCCGGGGCTGCCCCGGGCCCGCTTCCTGTCCGGGCCAACCGGGCCAGTTAATTGGTCCTTCTTTTGGCATTTCAAGAAGCCGTTGACCTCGCCGCAGTGGCGCGAGTTGCGCGCCGACCCCCGCTTCGCGGCAGGCAACGTCACCTGCTGGAGGCATCCGCCCTCCCCAGATTGCGCCCGAGGCCCGTTCCGAGTCGGCGTGGGCGGGGAAGGCTTGACGTGGCATGCAACGCTGTGCTTCCCCCTCCTCCTGCATGACTGCATGGCGGACGAGCTTTTGTTGGCCTCGCACGAGATGGCCCGCGATTTCATCGGGATCCGCGGCGGCCAAGAACGCTTGACCCACCCAGTCTCGTTCCAGCGCTGGCCGAACGAAGTGCGAGTCCGAGCTGCTGAACTCGATCGTGCTGATGTCCAGGGTCGCATCGAACAGCTTCAGGCCCCAGCGTCTCGATCTCGATCTCGTCTTCGACAGCAACTCCAGGCCATCGATCGTTGAGCTCGATTGCGGGTGCCGCTTTCGAGACGGTTGATTCTTCGGACTGTGATTGTGGACGGGGAGAGAGTTGCTGAGCGCGCTGATCGTGCTCGTGCTCTTTCGACGCATTTGGGACCGATCTTCGCTCGCAAACCGTGGCTTGCTGCTACGGCAGCCGCCTACGTCGACCGCTACGTGTCTCCCGTCAGTTTCGCTGACTGCCCGGTGCCGACGTTCGCAACTATGAAGAAGGTTGCACTTCGCGTCGGCGATTCAGCGCCAGGGTGCGACCGTCTCTGCAACGCAGACTGGCTGGCTCACCCGTTTGGACTGGTTTCGTTGAATGATGTATTGTTATGGACGCTTGCGGGCAATGGCCTTCTCCTGTCCGAGAGTCTCGCCTTGCAGGCGTTCTTGCCGAAAGGCGGGCTGAGTTCCGATTTGGCTGATGGCGGGTGTGAACGGGATGCGAACTCTGTTCGTGTCTTTGGGCTTCGAAGCAACAGCATCAAACTGTTGACGGCCGCCGTCAACTACTCGACCCACCGACCGCTCGAACGTTTCGTTCCTGGGAACCAGAGGCTTCACGCGAGACCGCAACTTCTGCCATTATATCGTGGAGGCGGATGCGCCTTCCCGCGCGCACTCAGCTAGGCCCGAAGTTCATGATGACTGTCCGCTGCTGTATGGTCGGCCCCTGCCATCGATCCCACAATCGACTGCACGATCCCACTCAACATCGATATCACGATTGGTCACACGATCGATGCCACGATCAATTTCAGTGTCGATCTCACTACCGATTTTGCGATCTATTCGATTATCGATCTCGCTATCGACTTCACTGTCGATCTCACAATCGAAATCACTATCGGTCGCACCATCTAGCACACTATCGATTTCACGGTCGATCTCACTATCCATCTCACTGTTGATCTCGTGATCGATCTCACCATCGATATGATTCTCGATGTCAATATCGTTCTCACTACCGATTTCACGTCCCACGCTCGATACCATCATCGATATCACTTTCGATCGCGCCATCGATCTCACGATGGTCATCCCATAATCGACTTCACGATGGGGCAACGACGGGATACCGACGGGACACCGACGGGACACCACGGGACACCACCAGGACACAACGGCGGGACGCGATTCTTGCACGCCCTCGCGAATTTGCCCCCCCCCACCCCCCCCCGAACGCACGACACGATCACGGAACCGAAACCGATTTCCTCATGGGGGGCTCTCCGTTTCATTGCGATCTCCCCCCCTTCATTTCCGACGATGCTCGTACCAAGCGGACGAGGGGCGGGAGAAGTTGAGGACCGTGGTCGTCAGAACCATCCCAACCCCGACTGGAGTAGAGTCAGTGAGCTCACCTAGCGCACCCTCTGTAGGTGGGGATTCGTGATGCGAAACCCGAAGGAGACGCCCCCCCGTCAATACCTAGCGGGCCAATGTTTCGGTGGAGGCGGTTGGGCTGCGTTCACTGGTCCAGCAGAGAAGAGGCCCTTCTCCCCTCCTCGTGCCCCTCGGAGGCCCTCGTCGTCCTCGTCCTCGCCGTGGTCGCCGTCCTCGTCCTCGTCCTCGTCGTCCTCGTCCTCGTCTTGGTCGCCGCCCTCGTCGTCGTCTTCCTCGTCCTCCTCGTCTTTCTCGTCGTCCTCCTCCTCCTCCTCCTCCTCCTCCTCCGCCTCCCTCCTCCTCCGCCAGCCACGCGTAAGAGTGTAAACCTTTCGCCAGAGCATGCCTTCGTTGCCCGGCACTCGGCAAGCCCAGGGGAGGCCCGACCCGAGCACGCAGCAACGCTGCCGTCGCAGCGCGCGCAGTGGCCGGCAAGCCACGCTTCGACTGTCAATTCTTGCTTGGCATCGTTCGGACACGTGCAGTTTTTCTAGGGAGGAAGATGCACCCAGACACCGGCGTTGACTAAACAACCCCACCGTGTTCGATTCTTTCTTTGGGTGCGTTTACTAAACGGCTCCGCTTGTCGGGGTGCTTATTATCGGGGTGGGTGTTCTGCCTTCTATTCTTCCCGACGAGGACCATCGAGGAGCACTTCGGGCCATCCTGCGACAAAACAGACGCAGGAAACCGAGAAGTGCACGGGGAAGGGGCGTCCGAGCGATGGCGAGCTTCCCTTGTGTGATTATCATGTCCTTCAGCCCTGGCCACGAGGAATAATGTCGAGCACCGAGCAGATACCGAAACTCGAGGGTGTTTGTCCCGTGCCGTACCTTTTGGGAGGCGATGCGCTCGTTCGCCTTTCCGCCAGCCGGTCGGACAGACACTGCTTCGATATCGTGCCGGGTGCTCGAGATGGCTTCTGCTCTGTGGTCTCCGAGCACGGTGGCACCAGCCTAACCCTAAGTTGGTTGTGTCCCTCTACAGGGGGAATATTCAAAAAGAGTCAAACAATAGTCTGAGGGCGATGTTTTGATTTTTGTTTGACCATTTCGGGGTATTTCTTGATTTGTTTTTTTTCGCCCAACATCCCCCTGTAGGAGGACACGCCCGACCTAAGCCTAACTCTTGCCCATGGCCTCTCCTTGCGTGTGGCCGGCTCCTCTCGCCGCCGGGGCTCGCCGCCCCCGCCACCCCCCTCGTCGTTGCTCGCCCCCCTGCGCCCAGGTCGCTTGCCACTGCAGCCTGGTGCCCGTCCCTGGGAGGCGATACGCTCGCTCGACTCCTCCGCCTCCTCCTCCTCCTCCTTGCTTTTCCTCCTCCTCCTCCCTTCTCCTCCTTCGCCTGTTGCTGATGCTGCTCCCCCTCCTCTCATGTGGCCGGCTCCGCCGTACTAGCCTGCCCAGCCAGCTCCGCGCGCCTGGCGGGGGGATTGGCAGACCGTCGTCTGGGGCAGGCCGCCGCGCAGCCCGAGCTCAGCCCGGAGGAGAAGGAGATGCTCGAGGCCGCCGCGGTTCTCGAGCGTCGCGTCGCTGCCGCCACCAGCGCCGTTGCCGCCGCGAGCGGTCGTCGTCATCGTCGTCGTGGTGTTTCTTTTTCCTCGCGCTCTGTCTCCCATCATCATCATTATTAATTGTGTTCACTTTCTTCTTCACATACCATCCTTTTCCCTCCTCCTTATCCTCCTAGTCCTCCCTTCTCCTCATCCTCCTTTTCTCCTCCTCCTCCTCCTCCTCCTGCTCTAATCTCCCTTCTCATCCTCTGCCTTCAGCGGGCATCCCACGGGGTGCAGCGGGGAAGGGAGAGCAGAGGAGGACATGGAAAGCACGTCTCGTTTCTTCTCGTATGCTATTCACCCCTCATCTCTCATTGTCTGTCTCTTCATGTTCATCGATGTGTGTGTAGCTGTAGGCGTGTGTAAGTCTTTCACGCACACGCACACACTCTATCGCTCTCCTTCTCTCTGTGTATATACCAACCAAGCCTACGTAAGGAGACATGTACTTTCGTTTTCTGTGCATACATGATCGCCATTCCCTGTGTAATGATATCATGGCTGCAGATATGTATGAGACAAATCTCCATACACAAAGAATTGTGCTTGCACACATGTTAAGTAGTATCAGCATGCTGGGCATATCCATACGACCGAGAATATTATGAGTTTACGCTTGAAGACGGGAAGGATGAGAAGAAGGGGGGACATGAGAAAAAGATAACGGAGGAAAAGGAGTCGGAGGGGAGGGAGGAAGGGAGGGATGGGGGAGGAAGAGGACGCGGAGGTGGGTGAGGAGGAGGCGATGGAGGAGAACGATGAGAAGGGCGAAGGAAGAGGAGGAGATTTAGGGCGAGGAGAGGGCGATGAGAGGGCGAGGAGCAGGCGGAGAAGGAGGCGGAGGAGGGCAAGGACGAGGACGACGCGGAGGAGGATGACGAATGACGAGGGGGATGGGGAGCAGCAGGAGGATATCCGTTCTCACTCGGGACAGGGGTTCCGGGGAACTTGACGCAATTCCTGCACGCCGCTGCCTTCCTACTTCATCCTCCCTGATCCCTTGTCCTACCTCTCCTCCTTCCTATCCAGATCTTATTTCCCTCCTCCTCCTCCTTCTCCTCCTCTTACTACCCTTGCCGTTATTCCCACCATGGTTGCATTTGTCGTATTGTTAGCTTCGTCGATACCATGGACCATCATCATCGTAATCATCTTGTCGGCATTATCGGGCTCCTGCTTGAGGACCATACCATCCACAGCCACAAGGAACTAATCCAACGCAATCTCGGGCGGATCATGCCCGCCTTCAAAGCACCAGGACAACTTCTTTAGTATTTTCTTTCGTGGCCATCTTACAGCGGGCCCCCCTTTATCCTTGTTGTCCCTTTCCTTCTCATCCTTTTCATTCCTTTCCTGTTCTTATATCCCTATTGTGCCTATTCCTCATCCTTCCGCATCTCCCCTTCTCTTTCTCCTCCTCCTCTTCCTCTTCCGCACAACCGCTTCCTCATCTTCCTTCCTCCTCCCCCCCCCCCACTCCCTTCCACCTTCCCCCCCCCCCCCCCCTGCCCCCCTCCCCCTGCCCCCCTCCCCCCGGCCCCCCTGCCCCCCCTGCCCACCGCCCCTTTCTATTTTCCCTCTGCCCCCCTTCTCCGTGCTGCTCCTACTGCTCCTCCCGCGGTCCCTCCACGTTGCCCGCGTCGGGAGCCGCCCGCGCCGTGTGGCAGGCGGACATCGAGATCCGAGCGGCGGCGCTCAGGAACGGCGTGGTGCTCGGCAGTGGCTCGGAGCAGTGAGCCCGCCTCCCTTGCGGGCAGCACGGGTTCTGCGCCCGGCGGCGGGGAGGCGGGCAGAGGAGGGGCCTGATGATCGTCACGGTCCGCCGTGTTGCCGCTCAGAGATCGCGGTCCGACGCTCAGAGCAGTGGGACGTCCTGGCCCCAGTACCGTTGTGATAAGTATGCTGATTCTTTCGCCAAGCGGGGTGCTAGGATGCACTCGCGAGACGAAGAATGGGCCCATCGGAGGAGTCTCGCCTGCTGGGCCAGCCGTCACGTTGCTTACTACACAGGTAGAATACTGCGCCATCTTGCGCGTGCTGGTTTTCTCGACGCCGATCACCCGAGGGTCCCTCGCGTTCGGTTTGATCACTTGGACGCGGTTGCGGACCCCAGGGGCCATCTGCTCAAGCGGGTCCGAGGCCGCTGGGTGTGTGTGTGTGTGTGTGTGTTCCGGTGGCAGGTCGGCCAATGCGCGGTGCAAAAGCATTGTTGTCGGCCTTGCCCAGGAGTTCCTGACGTCCTTTCCCGTGCTCACCCCTCACATCGGCTTTGTTGGGCAGGCGACTCCGTGTCAGGTGTTGTTTGGTGCTCGGCTCATGGGGCCCACGGGGCCCAGCAGGTCCTCAAGATAGGTCGACCGTGCTCGCAGCCAACAGCTTGGGGCCTGCGTTCACTTCGAGCCCCCAAGAGGGGCAAGGACCCCTCCTTTGGATCTCTCCTCCCTGGTTCGTTCCCCGTCTCCCGCTCCTCGGGGGCTTCGGGCGTTGGACGGGGTGGTGGGCCTCTGCTCCGTCCTCCGCGATGTTGAGGATCCCGAGGTGTTTGCCCGCCCCATCGGCGCCGCGTACCCCGCGGCCGCCGCGTTGGCAGGGGGGGGCTGGCGCGGTGGCAGAAGTGGCAATCGCGTCACCCGCTGTCCGTCCCCCCTGCGTGTCTCTGCTCGTGGCTGGATCGCGTTGAGGTGGTTCCCTTGGGGGCGCGGGAGGAGACTGGTGGAGGTGGGGGAAGGGGGAGGGGGAGGAGGAGGAGGAGGAGGAGGAGGAGGAGGAGGAGGAGGAGGAGGAGGAGATGAGGGGCAGGAGGAGGAGGAGAGGCGGAGCAGGAGGTGAGGTAAGGTAAGGCGCTTGGGGAGATAAGTCCGAACGGCCGAACACCGATTGGCTCTTCTGGCCTCCCTGCGAAGGGACAGTTGGGCAGGGCCCCCTTCTCGGCCTGCACGTAGGAGCGGGCGGAGAGTCTCGGCCCTCGCCCCGCTGCTGCCACGCGGGGGGGCACCCCCTACAGGGTGCAACAAAATCGAAGGGGGGAGGGGGGAGGGGGAAGCCGTCGCCCCACTTGGTGGGGGCCAGTATCCCCCGACCGATGGCAGGGCAGAAAAGAAGTGGGAGAAGGCGGAAAGGGCGGCGGCCGCGGGGGTCCTTGTATTTGTCGGGCGCGCGCGGGCCGTGCAGCGGCCGCGCACGCTCCGCTGTCTCTCTCTCCCCCCGCCCCCCCCTCGCCCCCCCCCCCCCCTCCCCGCCACTCACCTACTAAAAACTGGCTCGGTGGACCCCGTGGCCGAATTCAGCATGTTGGCTTGCTCATTGGCTCTCGTTGCTCATCTCTGAAGGCACTGTTTTGTTTTATTTGTAGATTAGCAGTCTCCCCCAGCTCCCTTGTGCTGTGCAGTAGTAGTGTAGCTGCCCGTGTTTGCCCAGGCAGAATGATTGTGTCGGTGTCTGCGCAGCATAGAGAAATCAACCGATCGTAACGTGAGCAACTGAGCTGACGCTGTTCCTCTAGCTGCGAGCTGCGAGATGTCCTTTCAGGTCCTGTTCGTGGTAGGCGCCTTCGGGGGGGGGGGGGGGGAAATTGTCGTTGTTCTTCTTCTTGCCCTCCTCCAGCTGCTGCTCGAGCTCGTTGATCCTTGCCCTCAGCGCAGTCGTCTGAGGCGTGCTTGGGGTGCTGCTCGCACTCGTGCCAGACGCTCCTCCTCCGTACGTGCGCTGGTACCCCTCTGGCTCGATCCATTTGGACGGGTCTTTCTGCTGCCAGCCGTAGTGCCCATGTACTCGGATCAGTGTGCTTCCACGGCGGCTCGCAGGGGGGCACCGCTCGTCTGAAGTATCAGAACCTCCTTCCCGTTCTCTTGCACGAGCTGGGCCTCTTCATCACTCCGCGGCTCCGCGTAGTCCCTGTCCGCATAATACGCGATCTCCTCGTGAATATGCTCGTGCAGCGTGCTGAGTGTCTCCGTCACCGTCTGGATCGCGATCTCTGTCGTGTTGGCCTGGTTCTTCAGATGGTAGGCTCACCCCTCTTTGGCACTGTCCTCGGCCACCGCGTTCGTCTTCCCAAGCGCTGTCCTTACCATGGAGATCGCCAGCATGCGCGTGTGGTCCTTCATCGCTTCCATGTTACGCTAGATGCCTCTCGCCGCAGTCCGAAGGACGTGTGAAGTGTTCTTCAAGCTGACCTCCGCGCGGTTCAGCACGTGACCGGTCGTCCCCACCTCCGTGGCTCCCTCGCCTTGGCAGCGGGTGCCCCTCGCCCCGCCGGGCGACACGACTCCTCAGTGGTAGTAGCTCGTAGCTCTCCCCTCGTTCTGGGATCAGAAGCTTGTCGCTGTCCTGGTTTGAGCATGCATAGCTGGAGTCGGATCACACTGTTTGGGGCAGTTGTTGGCCGCAGTAGCAGACATCGTTTCTCTGGGGCTTCGAATCTTGCGGGGTCCTAACATGATGCCGTTGGAGTCCCAGGGTGTCCCTTACGTTTCACCCTTGACCGTTTTCTGCACATGGTCAGATTCCTCCTCAGTTTGTAGTGGTAGCATTCGTCATACATGTTGGGCAATATCTGCCTTGGCTCATACGGGGTCCCTCAAGCTGTTCTGCAGCGTTGTTTCCCCGACTCCTAGGCTGCTTGTGTCCTGGACCTGCGCGAACGACGGCTCCTAGTTAGCATCCTCACTCTCGTTCTGCTGCCTCCTTCTCTTCCGGCGCGAGGCTTTCTTGCGTAATCCCCCAGGGGCATTTGATCCGCCCGCTTTCTGCTGATCTGATATTTAACAGCCTCTCAATATTCAACATGATCGTCCGAATGAGCTGGATATGTTGCCACATTGAGCCAATGACGCGGCTGCAGAGGCGAATGATCGTCAGGCTGGCAAGCTGGGTCGGGATCGTATTTCGTGCGATGAGTCGCTGTCTCTTCCTCCGCAAGATCTGCTCTGCTGGTACAGGGTCACATGCACAAACTTGGATAATGCGACCGCCCCGTCCAACACGAGAACTGTGCGGTGGAGATCTGCTGTGCGCACAAGAACCCGATCGAGGTCATCATTTGGCCAGGCATCCTCTTTTTCTGCCCCTCCTTCCATCCTAGTGGGTTGCATTCCTCGGCCGTTCCTTCTGTAGTGTCGGTGCTAGCGTGCTGCCAAAATCACTTCTGAGTCCCTTAAGAGGCTCATCCCCGTTCCGTCAACGCTCTGGCAACATATTAGTGATCAGCTGTTCCCTAGAGTCGTAATTCTAGATAGTACCTCGCAAACCTAGCCCCAGCACCTCCAGGAGTAGTTATCGCTGTACGCCACCCTTGCCCATGCAGTCTGGCAGGGATGACTGTTCGCTTGCTCTCCTGGCGCGGTCGTAGTTTGCTGACTCTACTCGTGCTTGCATGTTGCTGCTGTTGGGGGCTAGCTCTCTGAGCTTTGTCGGCCTCATGAGGTCTCTGCTCAAGACCCCAGCAGCTGCTTCGTCTCTCGTCCTCGGTGAGACTGCAGGCGGTGGTTCTGGGCCCCTCCATGCCGTGTGCGCGCCCCTGGGCCCTCGGGCTTTCCTGGATCCGTGTCCGCGTCGCGTGTGTCGACATCGCTGCTCGCGCCGCTCTGCGCTGCCCAGCGCCCCGGGGACGCCTGCACGATCCTCTCGCGCGCCCTCTCGAGCCCCGCCTTCGGCCCGCAGCTCGCCGCCTTCCTGCCCCCCCAGGGGGAGCAGCCCGTGGTCGATCGCCGCCTCGAGCCTCGACGCGTGGACCTTGCCGATCTCGTCGGCGTGCTCTGGGCGGGCTTGCGTGCCGATCATCGTCCGTCGTCGTCGTTCTTCGTCGTCGTTCCCTCCCCCCCTGCCACTGGGCGATCTCTGGATGGTAATAACAGAAAAAGTGCCGATCATCGCCAGGCGGACGCGCGGCACCGGGGCCACTGCGAAGCTCACCCTGCCAAGCCGATCTTCGTCGTCCGTGTCGTTGCGCCCGCGCGTGTCCGCGGCCATGCAGTGCGGGGTCGTCTCCGCCAAGAGCTGGGGCCCCCCGCTCCGTTTCCACCACCTCCAGGTGCCCCTCGAGCAGTGCCATCGCGTCCTTGCCCTCCTTGCTCGGGCCCTGCATGTTCTCGAGTGTTTTCACGATGCCATGCAGCAGGCTGCATGCGGGGTGGATGCGCGGAGAGCCGAGCCGGTGCCCTTTTCCCTTATCTCTGGTTTGCTGGGCGTAGTCTCTTCCTGCTTTGGTCATGGCGATGCATGCTGCGCAAGGAAGCAGCACCAGCCAGAAACTCGTTGCAGGGTGCACTAGCTCGCGCGTCCGCTGCGCCGTCCTCAGCGATAGCTTGTGCAAGGCCAGGAAGGGGGGTCCGATGAGCTTTGCGATCCCGATCCGCCGCTTCCCCCTCCGCCTCCTCCCGCTGCAGCCTCGCCCTTCGCCTGCCTCTTGCTGGCCTGGCTGGCATCGACCTCTTGTCCTCCTCGCTTGATTTTGATGCCCGCGCGCCACATCTCGCGCGCCTGCTTCTTGAGCGCATCGTACTGAGCGCGGTCCCACGTGATGCGGCCGCACGTGGTGTTGCAGCTCTAGGAGATTGATGGTTACAGATGGCACATACTCGCGATTCGGGCTGCTGCACTTCGTGTCAACACTTATTGTAGTCGATGTGGCATACCCCGAACAGGTCTGCAGTTCTTGTCGCGTGGCCAATCGCTGCGCGCCGGTTGCTGAACGCGCTGGGGCACCACGGGCATTGATTGATAACTACAGGTTGTGCCACCAGCGGTCTGATATTATGTATCTCCCGTCTGTTCCTTGCCAGTGCCTGGGCCGTTGCGTTTTTTGCTGTGCCTGTATATGTCTCCTTCCTCCCTCATGCGCATGCGATTACACCAGCAAGGTTTGTTGACGATTTCTTGTAACTCCTCCTCTTCGTCCTCCCCCTCCTTCTGATTTCATATTGTAGCTGCGCTGCACAATATGGCTGGGTCCGTATGTGTCCAATAGTCGCGCTCCTGTGTCCCAGGTGTCAGCCGGCTGTGAGTAGTGTACCAAGCATTCATGTCTTCGCTCGTCGCCGCCAGGGAGCTTGGCCCACGGGGTAGAGGCGCCCGTGACCCACCCATCCTGCATCCTGCTCTGTCCTTCCACACCCTCTAATACTGATGTTCCGAATGCTGCTGCTACAGCTGCTCCGTGATCCGTCGGGTATTTTGCCCATCTTATATGCCACCTGATCCTTCTCACCCACAGCGCTACCGCGCAATGCTCCATCTTCCATTATTTGGATACTCGATCTGTGTTTTGACAGACACTTCCGTCCTCTCTTGTCCAGCTCGTACATCCCCCTGCAGAGCTCTCAAGTACGTTGCCAAGATACCGCCCAATGCATCAGCGCATCTCTTTGGCACCACGAACGCTGTCAGTCCACTCAGAGCAGTTCCCGACACATCCAGAAGGCACCCCATTGTCCCTTGTCTCCATGCTAGTCGTGCCGCTTCTCCCGTGCTCCTTATCTCTCCTCCACTGCCTCGTTCGCTTGATATGTGTGGCCCAAATACCCTCATCTCTCGCATGGTCGTGCCTTCGATGTCCTTGCTTTTGCGCAGTGCTCTGGTGATTCTAAATGCCCCCTCCCCTTTGATATTTAGTAAATGGTTGTTTTTGTTGTGGGTTTGGGCACCCGTTGCCCTTCTTGAGTTGTTCCTCCAGTCGTGTCGTCACGCCGTCAATCTGTGCAGGAATGTCCTCTGCAGTTTTTCCTTGCGAAAACAATTCGTCCTAGTAATATCGTCCATGAATCTGTTCATGGCCAGGTCGTGCGTTTCCCCCAGTAGTGGATTTGCAGCGTCGTGCAGAGTCCGCTATATGTCTCTCCAGATATATCTGTGTTATATATATATATATGTATATATATATATAAAGATAACACATTATATAATATCACATGTATATATATATATATATATATATATGTCCAGCGCCCTTTCCTCTTGGTGCCATTCTCCCACGTATAAATTGAAGCAGTCGTTAAACTGTCCTGGAGAAAGCGTGAATCCCATCCGTGCTACACTGGTAGTCTCCACGTCCATGGTTTGCGATGCTGTCTCGGCAGTCAAGCAATCATTGTTGACCGCTGCCAACGGAAAGGGTCGATCCTCCTCCGCATTCGTCTTCCATGCTGCTGCCTGCAACAGGGTCCTGCGCGTGCTCGCAAATGCATTTGTACAATCGTA